TAACGGTAATATAAAGAAAGCGATTAAATAAAACGATTAAAAGGAACTCGAAATGCCAAAAGATTAATAATATTTAGAAGACAACTTGTCCTCCAGGTAGTTTGGAGAACTACTTGAGAGAAAAGTGTGGAATAGAAGTGTTGAGGTGTGTTGAAAACTCCTCCCAACATCCCTTTTTATACCAAGGATGGAATGAGGGCAAAATAGTCAATTCACACACTTTTAGTTCTAAAGAAACTAGAAAGTACACTAAAGCAAACTAATGGTACAATAAAGTAAACTAATAGTTAAAAAACAACCAAATTAGTCTTGTAAACTCCAGCTAATCTGATTAAACTACAACTGGTTCAACTTTAGAAAGCTCTCAAATGTCTTCCCAAGTCATGTAAGTCAACTCCAAGTCTTATCTTTTTCTTCATCTGCCTTCATGTCATGCTACCACATTCCCACAGCATCAACCTGCTCCAATCTGTCCAAAATAAGCTCAATTTAGACCAAAATCCACTAAAAATAGGTTCATCATTCTTCTTAACATAAAAATAGAGAAAAGAGATAAAATGACTCAAAGTTGGGATATAAATGGAAAATAACCTATCTAAAGAGAATAAAAAGGTATTTTACATACTAAATACTTAGTACGTATCATTTAGACAAAGGAGGATTTAGTCAGCTTTTAGTGGAATCCATGCTACCACAATTGTTCGAGGTAGTGTAATTTATTTCATGGTCCTTAAAATAAAGCCGCATTGACGTGAAAAGTGTTAATTCTTTGTAATAATGGTACATCTTACGATACACCCTCTATTTCGATTCTCTAAAGGTTCAAATGTGGCATCCAACTCATCTCTTTTATGTTGAGAAATGAAAGGAGGATGGCAATTTTAAGAAATGGCAATGGAGGATGACAAAGGTACTTGGAAGAAATCGATAGTCTACGAGTTAGATAAGTTGGCTCCCAGTGTTGTTAAAGTTAAATGAAAGGAAATGGAAGATGGTGTAACACCCCTATTATAGGAGTAAATTAGAACTGGAAAACAATTACATAAATGATACTTAAATAATAAGAATCACCCAATCAATGGGGAAGTACAGGTGTTTACAACATAAACCATGAAAGGTAGCTAACAACCTAATAATCTAAACCAAACTAGGTGAAGATTAATATCGGGTGTCACTATGATCACCAAAAGAATTCTGTTCAACGTGTGATGCTATAAATCTTCAAAAGTCTTATCTCCAAAAATGTCCTTAACTACAACCATTGCTCCACTCAAACCTTGGGAGCCCCACCACCTGAGGATCCTGATATACATGTCATTTTTAAGAAAAAGTGTTAGACAAAACAGAATTTATAGATAAAGATAGAAACCATAAAAAATAGTAATATAAGGTTTAAAGCAATAAAGAGTTCAAGTCAATTAAACAATAAGACAATAAAGTCAATTATACGTCTTGCAACAACGGGGGAGACCCGATTTCCATTGATCATGGTGAAACACTAAAGTAGGCCACAAATCTATGTTGTAGAGCTTCTATTATAGAACATTCATCATCGAGTTCAACCACTCACGGTTTGTAGTTCAAGTCCTCCAATCAACTAAGGTTTGCTCATTTTCCAGAATCAAATCATTATGGGTCACACGATCATCGATTTCAACCAACCACGATCTATAGTTCCAGTCCTTCAGTGATTTAACACCCATATTTAGTTATGTTAGGCAAACAAGTATGTCACCCCTATGTCTATGGATCCATTACATTACAGTGACTTGACACAACCTTAATGTGAATGACTATACATAAATATATAATTTTTTATTATCATACTTTGTGTTGGTCCTAGCAAGTGATGACTTATACAATCAGTGTTTGTAGAAGGGGGGTGAATACAAACACAACAGATTTTCACTTTTTCATTCTTTCTTCTATGTTTTGTATAACAACAAAGAATTACAAATCTGTTGCGGAAGTTAGGAAGGAATACCTGCTAAACTGAAAGAGAGGGGGGATGAGGTTATCTTTCAGATCCGAAGACCTAAGGAAGTTCTTCAGAGGATGACACCGGTTTTGCTTCAAAAACACTCACAAGGATGTTCTTTCAAAATGATTAAGTAGCATTGAATGACAAGGGCTGACCTGTTATAGCCCTTATTGCATTCAATGCTTACTGTCCAACTTTAATGTGTATCTTCTTTTGATTGACTGATTCAGTACTCTTCATTTCAACCTTTGAGTTTGATGTAAATATTTCGTTATCTTAGTCCATTCTTTGTATGCCGAGGAAACAGTAAGCAAGTAAAGTACCAATAGAATGATGCTTTTGTACTTGCTTAGGCTGACATGTTGTACATGTTCTCATACCAAGAAGAAAGTAAAAGAGTTGGAGAGACAAACTTGTTGGCCAAGTTTGTATTTCAATATTTGGCTTGCCAGTAGTAGTATTTATCAGACTACTAGTTGACTCTATCCTGTATTGATTTTCTTGTTGGCAAGATGATAAACCAAATATCTTTGGTGATGATCTTGACCATACTTCAGCTAGTCTTTGATTTTGTTGAATACATTTTGCTCTTGGATCAATACACATAGATATTAGACTTTCACAAGTAAAAATCATATCTTAATCTATATCTGACATATAGGCTATACATCGGATTTACCAACTATAGAACTTTATAAAGGTGCTATATTGGATACTGCCTAAGAGTTGGTAAAACTAAAAACCTTTATCCGGTAGAATAATCAATCGAATTAGGATCAGATGAAAGTCTTAATGACAACCAACTATATAGAGACAGATCTGATAGGTGACATACCGAAACCTAAAACAATAGGATCTGATGATACCAAATAGGGTAATATCTGATGAGTGAAGTTCATTGGACATGTACCTTATGAAACACGGTATACAAAAATATTCCTATCTAAGTGTTTGGTCAGATGCTATAAGTATTATTCTCAAATCCAATGGTTGAGACCGACAATGCCCACCCCTCGTTGTTAATAATTCAAATGACAATCATTATATAAACACTTAGAAAAAAATGGTAGCGAAACTTATAAGTGAAAATTGAAATCCTAACTCATAAATTCAGTGATTCATTTTTGGATTTTTTTTTTTTTGCCTTTTGTTCTTTTTTTTTCTAAGGTTTTTTCTTCTTGTTATTTTGTTTTGATCATCTCTCTCTCAGTGATTTGATAATGATCCATTTTATCTATCGAAATGTACTATCTCTGTATTCAGCTTCAACTATCATCACTGAGTCTGTTCAATGGTCGCTGAACATGTATTGTAATTCATTCAGAGATCAGTATTCTTCAGGAAGACAAAACTTACACCACGAAACCTTCAGCGATATCGAAGATAGAAGCTGAAGACAAAGACAATCAAGTTCGTGATCTGATGCGGTTTTCAGTAATAACAAGCTCGTTTACACAAATGTGAAATCTACTCAAGATTCAGTGAACACTAATGAATCCTTCAACGTCATCCTAGTGTCAGCGATCAATTGAATCTTGTTGAACAAGATTAGTTTTTGTATTGTCCTTCTACACATAAAGGACAAATCCATATCTCTCAAAGTAAAGTATTGTACAAAGTCACTGTACTGTCTCTAAGCATGCTTACTTACTTTGTGAAAGACTATTGTTCATATACGGTCAAAGACTGTATATTTGCAACAAAGGACAAACTCATCTCTTAAAGCTTGCCACGTGCTCTGTACCTTCTGAATTGCATTTAATGCAACGAGTATAAATAGTTGAGTAGTTATTTCTTCTCAGTTATCTTCTCCAACCTATATCCAAGCTTCCTTGCCTTGAAGATCTTACCCAAGAAGATACTCCTCCCTCTAAACTCTCTATCTAAGAGAAAAGACCGTTCAAATATTTAAGGAGCGGGGAAAATAGATTTCTCTTTCATGCTATTCACCTTTTCAATTAACGATTGTATCCGCTTCATCACTACTGGCTTTACTTGCTCTTGCTATTCCGGATAGCGTCGATTATTTCTAGCCACTCCGTGTATCCGTAAATAACTAGCCAATGAATGTCTTCATCTTCAATTGAATTTTCAACCCAAACGTATGGGTTGGTCGGGTTGGTGGTGTTGATACTTTGGTACATTAAAATATTCTTCTAACCTTGAATGTGTTATTTTCTCTAGTCTACTCATAATCTCTTTTTTATCATCAACCATTTAGTACAACTTATCTATATTTCTTAAATCTTAAATATATCACATTCAATTAATTTTCTCAATTTGCATATATATATATATGTGTGTGTGTGTGTGTGTGTGTGTGTGTTTTCATAGTTACTAAACATATATTTTAAGAAGTTATACAGAGATGGAGAATAGATTGAAAATATGTGTATAAAAAAAGTACATGATGGTGCAATTGTCAAAAATAAAACAATAAAGGTTCAACAATCATATTAAATCAAAGAAGTTATAAAATAACGGGTCATCTGGTTGAGTTAGATTCAAATAAAGGTCACTCAATATCAACCCAATACCTATTGTTTGAAGATTTTACAATTCGATTAGATATCAGGTTGTTTCGTGTTGAGTTATTTCACATTGGATTGATGAGTTGGTCGGAAGTTTGAGCACAACAAATACCAAACACATCCTTGCAAATTTACTTAGAATAAGAAAATGATCAAATACAAGTATATATAACTTAATAATTAAGGAAGCAAATAAAAGTCAAAATTGACTTATTCATCAACGTTTGAATACTTGAAAAACGGATCTGCTGCTTATCTAATTTCACGAAAAGTGCCATCCTTTAAGTTTTGACTAATTTCACGCTACCGTTGACCATTAAACCATCTAACAACTTGGGTTTCTTGTGAGACAAGTCACGAAAAGCAAATTGAAAAAAAATCATTCAAAAATACATGTCTTAAAACATTATTTATATAATGACTGTTATTCTGTACAATTTCATCATGAAATGCAACAGTAAACAACAAAACACTCATGGAAAACGCCATCAAAGAGAAATAACTAGAATACAAGAAATTCGAAGCTCAAAACCGCCAAAAATTAATGGGTCGATCAAACTTTTGCCTATGAACCCTAAATATGCCTATTTTTTTTCTCTTCTTTTAGTCAATTAAGGCCGTAGTGCAAATACTTTCGGTTTGTATGCTTTATGTATACAAAAATCAACCAAATACCAACATTTCTGCTAAATGTTTTCCCTCCGTGTACAAGGAAACAGCATGCTCCATAACTCGATCTGCAAATAAACAAACGTATTATTGTATCATAAGTACACAAGATGGCATAAGTATTAGTCGGGTAAAAACAAGCACATCAAGCAAAGGTTGAGGCATGGTTTCTACCCTATAAGGAGATTTACTGGGTTTGTTTGGGTTTTTACGTTATTATTGTTATAAGCAATCTAGATTACAAATGTGTTGAGATAACCTGATAAAAAACAGATAGCGAGAGCACATAGTTGTGTGGTTCATTATGCAAGAATGGTATGACGCCACCATCTAGAGCATCCTCATCATGAGAGCGGTAAATCATAGTTCTACGTGTAGGTACATGGTGTTTGGAGTTGAGCCTCATACTTCCCGCTCATTCAACAAGAATGTCCATCTCCTTAAAGCATCTCCAACAAATTCTCAAAAATGGAGAATCAAAATTCAAAATCTCCAAAAAGAAACTACATTCAACCCCAATGGCTTGTCCATTTTGAAGATCACATCATTTATTATATTATTAAGATAGGGCATATTTCAAATGCAACCATGTCCATTTGTACCACTAATGCAACCTAATCAATTGAGATATCTATGAAAATGATAAGAGTTCATTTATTATGATTTGAATATTTATGGAAGATGATTATAGTTCATTAATCATGATCAATACTTTATATTAGGAAACAATCAAAATTTTTATGAAATCGCACATTCATCAAATTAAATGGACGGTTGAGATTGAGTTGTATTGGTTGTACAAATGTAAAAGGTTGCATAGTAACTCACCTCTATTAAAATATTCCATTTATTTAATATTTTTCTCTCCTATACATTTAATTTCTAAGGTTTTTCATCGATACGAATATAATAAAAAATATTTCTCTATCATGGTAATCTTTTGAAGGGAGTTCGCCAAATTGGAGAATTTCACAATCTCTCTCCTACTTTCTCCATCTTCGAGAAAGTTTTGGACCCAAAATCCTCAAAAACTTCATTTTCTCCATTTTGAAGAATCTATTAGAGATGCTCTTACCTGTTAGGCTAAAGCTGCTAAGAAAGTTGTGGTTCATCCCGTTTGAGAAGAGTCAATTAACCAAATGAACCCGGTATCCCACTTGAAAATTCGGTCAGGTGAGATGTACGCATACACATCCTCTATCCCTAAAGTGTGTTTCTGTTAAAACCCTCACTTGTAAAAATAAAAAGAAGGCAATTGACAAACACAAATTGAGAAAACTAGTCACATAAACATGAACAATCAAACATGTAGCTGCAAGTATCACCTTATCATGTTGGCAATGGATGGTATCAAAAACGCTCGGAAGATGATGCCATCACTTCAGTAGCCCATAACGGCAAAGAGGCCTGAATAACAATCGGAGAACCAGTCACAGGATGCTCAAAAGACAAGCTTTCGGCATGAAGTTGGTGACCATCATAAACCACCCCATTCCACTCATAAACACCCTCATATTTCACATCTCCCCTTATCGGAATTCCAAGATACTGACAATGCAAGCGGATTTGATGCGTTCTTCCACTTTGAGGAAATGCTCTCACCAAAACCTCGACCTTATTTCCATCACATTCAATCACAGATTTCTCTTTAACAACTATACCTAATTCTAACTCACTCGACTCTTGATAACATCTTTGTCCGTTTATTGCTAACACTTCAAACAAAGTTTCCATGTTTCTAACGGAAGATCCACCAGGTAGTGTCCTACCCACATCTGTTGCAGCATAGACACGCCAAGCTCCAAACTTTGATCGACCATGGCCAGACTTAACAGTGATCTTTTTCCATTTTGGAGCCTGCCCGACACAGAAAGCAATGTATGTTTTCCTGATTTTGTGATCCGTGAAAGCCTTAACGAGCTTTGCAGCTACTTTATGTGATTTGGTGATTAATATCACACCACTTGTATCACGATCAAGTCTATTTGCAAGATGGAACTCCAGCTTCTTTGATTGGGTACCTATGAATACAAACAAACACATCATTAGGCAACGATGGCAGAATGATATCAAGAAAAGCAAATGGCGGGGATGAAACGAAAATTTGTTATATGATGTTAGAGTAGAATCGCCGAGAAGGGCATTTTGAGTAAGGTTCAACTTAGATACATGGGCTAGCAAGACCAATGTCCTAGGAAAGCCGATAAAGAAATCTTGGTTAGAAACATGGTACCTAATGGGAGCAACAAGCCCAAAGACGCAACAAACTGGGTGCAAAAAGAGCCCTGAAAGGGCAGACTACAACAAAATGGGGTTTATAAGACCCAAAAATGTCTAAACGTCCTAATACAATGCTTTTTAGGACATCAAGTTTATAGGACCAACCAATTATGCATCATATTTAAATCTGCTACAATAAGTTGGTAAGAGGTCCATCAAGGGCTTAAAGTTCTAGCAACAGTCACATGATATATGGAAATGAACATATACCAAATCCAGAAATGTGAAATAGAAGCTCCACATTACAATCCCTTTTTTTAAAGCAAGGGGCCGTTTACCAAATGCTTACCAGATCACTTACGTTACCGGGTAAGCATTACAAAGACCAAGAATCTTACTGCCGGAGGCATGGCAACTTGGCAATGGAGACTCTTACCCCATTAGCGGTTAACGTTTTGTTAGCCGAGAATCTTAAGTGAGCATGGTTACTCTTGTGAGTAACCAACTAACCCGGAAAGCCTTTGGTAATTGGCCCCTACGTGTCTTTTATAGTATAGAATAACACAATGAATTTCAACCAAGTATCATTATGAATTATCAAAAACAAGCAGAAGTAGAACAGGAACTAAACATCATCTGATACAATGAGATTTTGAACAAAATTTTAATTAAAACATTGAATAAAAATCTGATACTCCCTCATTGCTAAATGGATGTCTCCATCCTTGATCTTAAAGATTCAAAGATACTAGTTTTTAGATTGAATTTTGACATGGGTATTTTAGTTTCTTTCCTAATAGTTTTAAAAGCTTAAAATGTAATTGGTAACTTAAACGAATTCATACTAAAATTGGAATCCTCAGACATCAAACAGAGGTGTATAACATGAAATAACTACAATAAAAGAACTCACCGACTTCCCTCGATTCATCAGGAGAATCGTTGAGTAGACTCGGGACAGAAGCCAAAATCGTCTCACAGTAAACCCCCTGGGGTTTGTTCAAGGCAATGAGCCAGTCGTCTTCGAGAAGCACGTCGGTTCTACATAGAGAAAAGAGAGCTGATTTAGAAGAAGCTGACATGGCTCGGCTCAGCTCCATGTCCTTGGATACGGCTGGCAATGGCGGAGACAGAGGCACCGGGTACTTCTCTAGATATTTGGGGTCGTCATCCAAATGGGTTTTCTGTGAACCGCACTGCTGGTGGGCCGCCATGAGCAGAGATCGGAAGAAGGTGATGGATGTTGGGGAGATGGAGGGAGTACAGAAGCGTGTTGAGTGCAGAGGAGAGCCAAATGGTTTCATGGTCATCGGAACAAAAATGAAGAGTTACAGCTTAACGCAATTAATTTTACTAGAATCCCCTTCTAGTTTGAACTAAGTACAACAACGAACCTTTAAACAATGCATTGATCAAACAAGTAAAATTACAAAAAAACCCTTTTTACGGGTAACCGTGGGTATTACTACGTTCCTATTGATCTCTAGAGCAACCATGAACGACCTGAAGTCATCACATGTGAACCGTTAATATTTGAATTTGAAACGGAGAAATATGAGATTTCCGCTATATAACCATTAGTTTTAAACAACGCGTCCCAACCAAAGTAATACAAAAAACTTAATCGAATGTAAATAAGAAATAAAATGTTTTTAACCTTTTAACTTTCGTTATTTAAGAAATTAAATTATTTTTTAAATAAATTTTCATGATCATATTGAATATTTAATTATTACAACATCAAGAAAATAATATTGTTACCCAACTCATTTTTATTATTAAATTTACAATAAGTTTTGATGAGAAAAAAAGTTAAGGTGAAAAACATAAGAAATGATCTCCACCATTGGATATACATCAGAATGAGATGCATCGAAATAAGATACACCGGATCGATCTCTACCTTGGATAAACATTAGGATGGAATGCACCGAGATAAGATACACCGGAAACACGATTCATAAATAAATTTAAGATCAAAAATAATCAATTGTCCAATTTCTTCTCATGCTTCTCATCTTAAGTCTCATCCTTACACATTCCCTCACCTAAATTTACATATATTCATTTTGTCTGTCTTTCATGGGTTTAAGATTTTTAGTTAAAATTAAGAGGGGGTAAAATTGATATTTTTCAAACTGAATGGAAGCTATTTGAAACTAAAGCTCAAGAATTAGGGGGTGGACAATAAACCCTGTTTTTCCACGATGTTGGGGTTTTTGGCAACTTGAAGAAAGCTTCAAATCTGAAGCCAGATCGTTCACAAGTATTTAGTATGTCATCAAACATACTTAGACGGGTATATCAAAGATCATCTTCCATTCTAACTCGGTACCAACCTATCTCCACGCTTTTCGTCTCCCAGTTCTTCACATCAAGCGATAAACCACAAAATCATGCTTCTGGGCTTGAATTACTGTCGAATAATGCATCTGGGGTTTCTTCAATTTGGTATAAGAGATTGAATTTCTCATGTGGGTCTACACGGCTGTTGTTTAGTACTCAAGCAGCTGTAGAGCCGTCCACCTCCGATGGACTTACCGTAGATGGCATCATTGCTAATGAATGGACGATTCTGGATGAGAATGAGAGCGATTGGAAGAGCCATGCCTCTGCAATTGCTCAATCCATTGGCCTTATCAAGAAACGGTTGCAGGTATATGCCTCTCTAAGTTCAATTTGTGTGTGTATTTTGGTTTGTAACATTGCTAAGGGGTTTTTTTTCGCTGTGAAATGAATAAGAGGGCGAATCAGAGGGCTTGTCTGGAATTAATCTAAATCAAAATTTTTCTATTTTAACCTATGAACCATTTTGAACAACAGGATTGTTGATAAAACTAAATGATAAATGCTGAATGATCCAGGAAAGCAGGTCTGAGATTATGCAAAGTGTAGAAAAGAAGTAGAAGAGACAAGCATTTGTAAATGTAAATGATTTCTGTGTAACTCATCAGATAAAGGATGCTATGTGTATATACAATTTTACCGAACAAATCTATAACAGAAGAATCCATGATAGGAAAACAATGGGTAGTACAATTAGTATGAACATAGGAGCAACACTTTGTATTTGTAGTTGTCTTGGCAACAATATTCTCTTCTATTATATGAACATCCCCGTGCGAGGTCATCGGTCTAGGAAGAATGCTGAGGTTGGTGCCCAATGAAATAAATCGTTGTGTAGAAAGAGGTTTAGTAAGACAATTCATAAGTTGTACTTTGTAAGAGATATATTTGACACTAAGATTTCTTGCATGAAATAATGGTTAATCTCAACATTTTTTGTGCGAGAGTGCATAATGGGATCAGACATTGTTGGAATATGGCAGATCTTCATAATTGAGGACGTGATAATCACTGTCCTTAAAGAATATTAACCCCCAATATTTACGCTGGTGGTTTGAGACTAATTTCTTCCCAGGATTCAACCTCAATTAACAGAACTTTATGTAGCGTACATAAAGTTCACATGAACATCAAACAATTGTAATTATGTATGTATTGAAAGTGTATCATATAATGTTATCTATTCATATGCACCCTTATATAGTAGTTAAAACGAACCAACATGACTTTTCATGAATCAACACACCTTTTGGAAAGTTAACTACCAAAAATAACTACCATTAACTACCAATACGTTGTCCCTTAAAAAATAACTACCATTAACTACCATTACGTTTTCCCTCAAAAAATAACTACCATTACGTTTTCCCTCCAAAAATAACCGCCATTAACAGAATTAATTCTGTATAAAAATAATGACGAAATTATTTTTCTAAGGATGCAAAGGTGCAAAGTGCTAATTCTTTGATTAATTAATATATATTAATCATCCACCAATTCCCTCCAAAAGCCTCCTAAAAGACTTTCAAACATTTGAGTGGAATAGTACTTATTAACACACTTACAACTTTCTCACCACCTATGTGGGATACATAATATACAAAATTGTAGATAAAACCCATAAGTTCCAACAATCCCCCACTTGGGTTTTGTTAACAATATCCAACAGATTATGCATAAGTAAAGGTAGCTTTCGCTTTGAACCTTAACATAGTGTATATTCTTCAAATAGCCTAACAGAATCAATGGCTGCTTTACAGCATTTGAGCCATGATTCTTAGTGTTAAACTCGGAAAGATAACACACATAACATGTTAATTGATGTTCATAACATGGTAGCACTATTATGGCCATGTGCTAATTCCAGTTTCATGGATATCTCCAAAAGTAAATCTACACTTCATTAAGAGTATAAATACTCACCTTAAAAGAATTACTCACTATTTAGTATTCAATCTAAACTAGTGTCCAGTTGGTAATCAACAACTTGTTTGTACCACATTGAACCATTAAGTAGATTTTAGTCTAAGTAAAGGTTGGGTTCCCATTGTTGCCAACTTTACTGAATGGGTTTCGGACACATCTCTCTTGTAGTTCCAAAGACCATGTCTTTTGGAAGACCTTTTGTAAACGGATCCGCAAGATTCTTACAAGAGCGTATATATTCAATAGTTATTATCCCATTCGATATTAACTCTTTGATATAGGCATGTCTAAGGCTAATGTGTCTAGACTTTCCATCATACACCTGATTATATGCCCTAGATAGTGTAGATTGACTATCACAATGTAAGGAAATGGCTGGCATTGGTTATGGCCACAACTCCATGTCTAACAACATATTTCTTAGCCATTCTGCTTCCTTACCCGCGGCTACAAGTGCTAAAAACTCAGCCTCCATGGTGGAATGGTGATACATGTTTGTTTCTTTGAACCCCAAGAAACAGCCCCTCCACCAAGTGTAAAAATCCAACCTGTTGTGGATTTACCATCACTACTGCCAGTTATCCAACTAGCATCTGAGTATCCTTTTAGTACAGCAGGAAAGCGATCATAATATAAAGCTAATTGTCTAGTTCTCTTAAGATAACCAAAAACTCTTCCAATTGCTTTCCAATGATCTTGACTAGGATTACTCATATATCTTGATTGTTTGCAAACAGCATATGCAATATCAGGTCTAGTACAATGTGTAGCTTACATTAAACAACCTATTGCACTTGCATATTCTATTTGAGCAATAGCTCTTCCATCATTCTCAACCACTTTACAAGATGACTCATATGGGGTATTTGCCTCCTCAATATTCAAGTGTTGAAACTTGTCTATAATCTTATCAATGTAGTGACATTGCTTTAATGCATAATCCCCACTATGCCTTTTAACCTTTATCCCCAATATAGTATCAACTTCATTCATGTCTTTCATTTGAAAGCATGAAAACAGAAACTTCTTAGTTTCATTATACCTTCCATATTGGTTCCAACAATGAGTATATCATCTACATAAAGGCATAGGATCACACCATAAGCCTTTGTAAATTTAGAATAAATACATCTATCTGATGTGTTATGGGTAGAACCATTTGATAGTATAGATTTATCAAATTTCTCATGCCATTGTTTAGGTGCCTGCTTTAACCCATATAAAGATTTCTTTAATTTGCAAACTTTATTCTCATGACCAGGCAACACAAACCCTTCAGGTTGTTTCATATAGACTTCATCTAAGTCACCATTCAAAAAKGTTGTTTTARCATCCATTTGATGTATAGGCAAATTATAAATTGAAGCTAAAGCAAAGAGCACCCTAATTGAARTGATTCGAGCTACTGGTGCATATGTATCAAAGTAATCAACTCCTTGTCTTTGACTAAAGCCTTGAATTACTAACCTAGCTTTATGTTAGAATATATTGTAAATATTATGTCTGTTTAGGGTTTCTGATGGGCCGTACGGGCCTTTGCTTATTTGGGTTTGGGTTTCTTATTTGTGTCTATATATATACACGCCTCTCCTTTGTAATTAATTATTCAGTAAATAAGAATACTTCTTCTCTCTGTCCCTCTGATCACATGGTATCAGAGCCACTCTGAAAAAACCTCCTGCCGTCGTCGCCGGAACCCTAGCCTACTTCGCCGGAACCCTAGCCGACTTCGCCGGACTCCTGCCACCGTTGCCTGAACCCTAGACGCCGCCATATCTGCCGCTGCCGCCTCTGCTCGCCGGAATCTGCCGCTGCCGCTGCACCGTCGCCGCTGACTCAGACGACCGACCCGGTGTTTTCCAGTCGCTGTCCGCCGCCCCACGTGCCGCCAGCATCATCCCAATTTCTGTTTCTTGCTTCTTGAAGGTCGCCATCTTCATCCGCTCCATCTCCGATGGCTAAAGATGGAGACAAGTCGTCCGATGACAAGTCGTCTGATAGTGTTCATATACCTGAATTGATCCCGACGAGTGGTAGAGTTACCGATAATAAACTTAACGGTACTAATTACTTTGAATGGATCAAAACGGTCCGTCTGTATGTCCGAAGTATGGGAATGGCTTCTCATCTAGATTCTGACCCTCCTACTGACGGTAATCGTGACCTTTGGTTACAACAAGATGCTCGTATGTTCTTGCAGATTATTAACTCTATTGAGCCTTCGGTCTCAACTTTGGTCAGTCATTGTGAGTATGTGAAGGAGTTAATAGATTATCTTGACTTCCTGTATTCTGGGCAAAGTAACATTTTCACGAATTTACAGTGTCTGTAAGGCATTTCATCGTGGAGAACAACAAGGATCGTTCTCTTATGACCTATGCCATGGAGTTCAAGAAGGTTTATGAGGAGATGAATTCTCTCCTTCCTTTGAGCACTGATGTGAAAGCTATGCAGACTCAAAGGGAGCAAATTGCTGTCATAAGCTTTCTGAGTGGTCTATGACCAGAATTTGATTCCATCAGATCACAGTTCTTGAACGAATTAACGATCCCTTCTCTTCAAGAGACATTCGCTCGGGTCCTTAGAAATGAGGACTTTCAGTCTGCTCAGCCTCCCGATCATCATGCTGCCTTGGTCAGTCGAGGTGGATACCGAGGTGGCTTCCGAGGAGGACCTCGCGGAGGTTCTCGAGGGAGCTTTAGAGGAGGTCACAATGATCGGGCAACAGATCCACGAGGCTTTAGCTCTGACTCTAGTCACGTTGAGTGTCACTACTGCCATGAGTTGGGCCATACAAAGTTCAACTGTCAGAAGCGGTTGGCCAGAAATCAGAGGCTATCATCTGCCCACTCTGCAACCACGCTAAATAGCACTGTTAAAGAGGAGCATGCCCACTCTCATTCTCGTGGAGATGAGAACCCCACTACTTCTACTGCTGCGTTTGCTGAGACAGGTAACTCTGGTAAATGCCTTGTGTCATCCTCCTCCAAATGGGTCATTGATTCGGGTGCGTCAGATCATATGACTGGTAATTCTAATCTTCTCTCTGATTTTACCAAACATGCCCCATCAGCCCAAGTTACAGTTGCTGATGGAAATCTATCCCAAGTGGATGGTTCAGGCACAATTAAATTGTCATCGTCTGTCTTGTTGCATTCAGTTATGAGCCTACCGAACTTTTCTTTCAATTTAATGTCAGTTAGCAAAATTACTCGTGGTCTAAAATGTAGTGTTGAATTCTTTCCTGATTACTGTGTATTTCAGGATTTGCAGACGAGGAGGATTATTGGTGGAGGACGGGAGTCAGATGGCCTATATATCTTTGAACAATGTATACCATACTCCTTGACAAGTTTCAGTCTTGCATCTGCTTTCGAAGTACAT